GAGTGTGACATCAGGATTGCAGGGAGACTCATTAATAACCTGCATTATGCAGATGACAGACCCTTGCTTGCTAAAAATGAGGAGTACTTGAAACATTTGTTGCAGAAGATCAAGAAATGCAGACTTCAGTATGGATTGAATCTCAATGTCAAGAAAACACAGATTCTTACTCTTGGACCGGTAGGCAACATCTTGGTGGATGGAGAAGAGATTGAAACTGTCAACAGCTTCATCTTGCTTGGACCCACAATCAACACCCTTGGCACCAGCAGTCAGGAAAGAAGGAGACACATTGCTCTGGGGAAACCTGCAATTAGGGACCTCTTCAAATTATTGAGGAATAATGATGTCAGTTTGAGGACTAAGGTGTGTCTGATTCAGACCATGATCTTTCCAATCACTTAGTATGCCTGGATAATGAATAAGGATAACAGAGAAATAATTGATGCCTTTGAGCTGTAGTGTTGGAGAAGAGCACTGAACATCTCATTGATGGCCAAGAGAGCAAACATGTCTTGGAGAGGTAGCAGCCGTAGTGCTCTTTTGAGGCAAGAATGATGAGGCTTTGCCTCACATACTTTGGACATTTTGCTAGGAGGAGCTATTCCTTGGAAAGGAACATGATGCTGGGAAAGATGGAGGGTTGGCGAAGGAGAGGAAGACCATCCATCGAGTGGGCTGACCCAGTGACTGCTGTGATGAGACCTTGTGTGTCAGAAACTTGTGAGGATGGCACAAGACAGAACAGGGTTCAGATCTTCTGTCCATAGAGTTGCTATGACTTGTACTTGACTTGTTAGCACCTAACATCAATAACAACAGACTCTTTGGAGTGATAGAGAAGAACAAGACCATTTTCAGTAATATGTTCACTGAATATCCACTATGAGTCATGTACTGTCAGAATGGGGAGAGATCAGGAAACAAGGTACTCCAAAATCCCCATCTTCATTGAGCTTGGACTCTAATACCCCAAACCAAACCCATTGTGATTAAATTGTTTCTTATTAAAAAACAGCCTGCCTTATGCCGATGACACAACCCTGCTTGCTGAAACTGACGAGGACCTGAAGCGCTTTCTGCAGAAGGTCAAGGACTGCAGCCTTTGATATAGATTGAAGCTCAACATCAAGAAAAC